CGGAGGAAAATTCCGTGTTGCCTAGACCACGGCCTTGCCCAACACAAGTTATAAATTCGGGCACCGCCGGGAATCTAACCCGAGACCCCAGGATTACAAGGCCAGCGTTCTAACCGCTAGACCACCTCATCTTATTATTTTTTAGTGTTCTGTCTGACGACAGGTCCATATGAACAGGATCCTTCCATCCTTTTCTCGGACTGGGACCTGTTCATATACGTTCTTGGCAGATGATCCAGAAGTGGTTTGCCATTTGCTTTCTTCTGTGTGTGAATGGAGTAATTGTTGGGATGCCACGGAGAAACCGGGGAAGCCCCCGGAGGAAAACTCCGTGTTGCCTAGACCACGGCCTTGCCCAACATAAGTTATAAAATCGGGCACCGCCAGGAATCGAACCCGAGATCCCAGGATTACAAGGCCAGCGTTCTAACCGCTAGACCACCGTGGCTACTCCAGAGCACATACACACTTGTAAATCTTAAGGTAAAGTAACCTTTCTTGTTGGCTAGTTTAAACCAAAACTGAAATGTCTCAACATGTTTTTGTAAAATATCCCAGTATTTAATTTCATGAACATCTGCTCAACCCTCCACATGCATAGTCTAAAGTCCCAACATCTCTCTATATATACAGCAGATTCCGGTTAACTGGGACACATAGGGACTAGAACACTTTGGCCCAATTAAGTGGCCACCCCAATTTTGCGAGTTTCACTTAAAGAGTTAAAAAGGTTTGTTCTGTAAGATTTATCCCAAACAAACGGTTGCCCCGATTAACCGATGGCCCAAGTAACCAGAATCTACTGTGTACACACACACACATATATATATATATATATATATTCAGAAAGTTGTAGTGAATAATTCTGGCTGCAGACCACCAAACAGACACCATAATCTTCTTCGGGTGCAAATTTGGCTTCGGAAATTGTTTTGGCTCTTCAACAGCATCAAAACACTGCGCCGATCGTCAATGGTTGTCGTACAGTATCCATTTTTCATTGCACGTCACAATTCAATCAAGAAATGTATCGTTTTTATAGAGTAAAATCAGCGATGAACAAACTTGATAACGACATTTTCTTTGGTTTTCATTCAATTCATGTGGGATCCACTTATTAAGCTTTTTGACCTTTCAAATTTCTTTCAAATAGTTTGAAACTGTTCCCACACTTACACCAAGGTTAGTAGCAAGATCTGGAACCACTGTACATGGATTTTCTTTAACTAACGCTCTCAAATGATCATCCTCAACCACACTGCCCGGCCTGTCATGCTCTTAATTTTTGAGGTGCGTATTGCCGGACTTGAACTCTTTAAACCACTGATGTACCGTGTGTTCATCAGCTGTGTTTTCTCCGAAGGCCCCATTGATATTTGCATATTTTATATTCATAAAGAAAAATAGCTTGAAAGTGGCGATTATTTATGTTTAATTAAAGAGATAGAAGAAAGCCTAAAAAGTTAATGAATAGGAAATTAAATTACACAATAAGAATCAGCACAAACACAACAATTATAAACGAATACAATGCCAAACACAACAATGGCTATAAACAAATACAACAATGTCAATAAAGAGGCACAACAATGCCTATAAACGAATACAACAATGTCAATAAACAGACACAACAATGTAAATAAACAGACACAACAATGTCTATAAACGAATACAATGTCAATAAACAGACACAACAATGCCAGACACAACAATTTCTATAAACGAATACAACAATGCCAAACGCAACAATGTCTATAAACAAATAACAATTATAAACGAATACAACAATGCCAAACGCAACAATGTCTATAAACAAATAACAATTATAAACGAATACAACAATGCCAAACGCAACAATGTCAATAAACAGACAACTAAACTGTTTATTGACATTGTTGTACTGCTCCCACGGCAACACGTCACAATACACATTTCACATTGAACAACCTAATACTATCACACATCTTTATAAAATCCAAATGTTGATTCCTGCTATATTACCAGGTCCTTCATGTAAGATGTTTACTTTAGACAAACACAAAACCAAACGAATGTGAAGAGCACCCACTTACTTATATACGATTTTGTTGTAAAAAAGTACTGCATTCTTTGAGTACCTCTTGCAATGTCTGATGTTCCACCAGTTTACATGCCTTATCTAGTGGTACCCATTTAAAATCTTGGTGTTCATCAGACAACTTAACAGGTGTATCAAGCCTGATCAATTCTGCAAGCAGATAAACAGCTGTCTTTGGTGTTCCTCTTACATTATACTGAAACAAAGAAAAGTGTTCAATAAGACAAGAATAATAGGCTATTCATTAACATACAAAAAATTAGTCTTATATATTAAGTTGACTGGAGATCATACAATAACTTTGATAACATTACAAATAAATTGCAGCCACTATATTTCTGACATTACATATATACCATAATTCTGTTAATAACAAATAATTAATAGTAACAGATATGATAAAATTACACAACTGTATGTACTGATTCTGTTAGGTTGGTGGGTGTGTGCTTGTGCATGTCATTAACCTTACATGACTGCTACAACATTCAAAATATTCACCTTCTGAAAGAGATTTCAGTATTTCCACCATATTTATCTAAATGTTATGTACTTCTATATTTCCAAATCAAAAACACAAAAGATACTTACTTTAATTGTTTTATTAAAATCTTCAATAATGTGTAAATCCATCTTTCTTAGCCCAGATTCTTCCTCAGTTTCTCTTAGTGCAGTTTCCAAATCTGATTCCCCAGGATCAACATGTCCTAAATAAAATAAAATCATAATAGTAACAAATAAAAATTTCAATGTAAGAAATTATCAGCAGATTAAAATCTGAGAATGATTGGCACCATTCGGTTCATTTAATTGACTACCCTCCTGCAAATGAAGAAAGAAAGAAAAGGTATACAAAATGGTAATTTTGCCATTTTGTACAATTGTGAAATTTCATCCCCCACATTAAAGGCAGAGCACAAACAGTCTATCAGAACTAGGTGCTGTGGATAACATTTGGGTCTAAAAGGTAGAAAGTAATTGGAGACTGCAGAAAACTGCATAATGAGGTGCTTCATAGATACATAATACTTTTCACCAAAGCTCACATCAAAGAGAATGAGAAAAGCAGGACACATACCAGAAGATATGACCAGAGAATTCTGAATTTGAAACCTGAAAGGAAGGGACCACTTTGTAGACCTATGCATAAATGGGATGACAATAATAAAACAAATCTTGCTGGACTGGATAAATCAAGATGGGGAACAGTACAAGCTCTTGTGAACCTTAAGGTTGTACAAAGGTTGAGGAATCTACCCGGCTTAACAACTATTAGCATCTGATGGAATACACTTCATGGAGTTGCATATACAAATTACCCTTTGTGGATAGAGAATCAAGTCTGAGAAATTTTAATGCCTAGAGTAACTGACTTGGTCTATATGTTTAACAATTTAATAAAACACCAAGAATAGCATATATTTAACTATTTTTAAATTTGTTACATAATTACTAAATGGGGTTTATTAAGTGTGCAATTACGTATATTACAGTAAATGTTATTTTTGTGTTGTATTTCTAGCACAAATTACCAATATGATTTCTAAGAACCTTTTTGATGTTACAGATTGCACTCAAACTTACTTCACATTGTTTACTAGGATCTACGGAATGCAAATATCATTTCAAAATCTTTCATGGCTTCAAACTTACCTTTTGGTGGTGTCCAGTGATGTTTACCATATGAGGTTTGCAACAACAAATATTCTATCTGATTACAGACCATTCTAAAAATTACGAATCCTGATGCTCTTAATTCGTTGGCCGAGGAAGACATTTTGCGTAACTCACCATTAAATGGCAATTCACTTTTAAATTCCCACTTATGTTTGATCTCCGCCTGCTGAAAATGTCCATAGATAACTAACCAAATTATACCATAAATTGTAAACATGTGGCTGGGTAACACGCTAGACCAACGCACAGATAAAAAGTCATGGAAAATCACAACCCTCGCACCGACCACCTTCGTTCAGATGTATTTCTTTGCCTTTCACGATTTCTGGTCAGCGACAATAGCTGTCATGTTTTGCATGATTATGAAGCAATAAAAGAATGATATTGTAGTTTTTAGTATTAAAAAAAATACACAATTATTGAAAAAAATACAAAATGAATACTAATATACTTGATAAATGACGCGCCTGAAATTACCGACTCCCGTTTATGAAAACCTTCCTTTCCACGTTAGTTAAACTACTTTTAATATTTCATATTTTCTCATTTTTCTTTTAATATATCCTGTTTCTTTATCCCGTTGTATATCATTTTCAGTTTAATAAGAACCACTTGACTATGCACTCGACAAAACCGACAATCACCAAGGCTGTGGAAAATATGATAGGCAATTATGATTCTTTCGTAACCTGTGGAAGGTGACTGACGTAAATTTTGAGCCGTACTTGACAGCGTGCTTTATTTTTGTCAGCACCTCAGAATTATTGTGTTTAACCTGATTCGTGAATCTGCACTTTAAACAGTTTTAAATATGGGTACTAGAATTGAAGGGTACAGAGAATGCCTCGACAAAGCACTTAACGATAAAAACCAGCCATGGACAAGTGCTTTTGATTGGGCTGAGGGAAAGACTGGAATAAAGCGATTGTATTTGTTCACTGGTGAGTCAGATTAGATAATAAGCGGTCTCGCTTCTAATTGTAATTATTTACATCATCTTGTGTTTTTATTCACATGTAGGGTAGTTCAAGTAAGACAGCAGCATTGTGGGATAATGATGGATGTGCACTACTGGAATTTTAGCATATGTAGGTATTATTGGTTTTTGAGAAGTTAATTCATATAGAGAAACAGCACATTTCACAGAGTTTTCTTTGCCATTGTGCCATGTTTTTCATACCTGCTTCCCAGGATACTGTTTAGATCTCTGTAAATTAGTATTGGTAGTGTACATATATGAGGGCTGCTCAAAAATATCTAGGACAGAATTTATTGTAGGAAAATTAAAGCATGTACAAGTAACTTTGAATTTATCTCCTTCAAAGTATGAGCCTTCAGACGGTACACTGCAATTCCAGTGCTCCTTCCAGTTTTAAGTGCATGTCTGGTAGGCTTGTATGGGAATGTCCTGCAGCTGTCATGTTGTATATTTAGTTGTATCTTTGCCATGTCGTCATATTGTTTACCCTTCAGGGTGCTTTTTGGCCTGGGAAAGAAGAAAAGTCATAGGGGGCCATATCTCCTGAGTAAGGTGGGTGGGGATCCATGGGGATGCTGTGCTTAGCCAAGAATTCAGGGCCACATGGCAGGACACATTGTCATGGTGCAGAAGCCAGGTACTGGAAGAACTTGATGCAAACATGTTGCTCCTTCAACACTTCCATTTAACAATACAACAGATGAAAAAACAAGATTGCACTGTAGATCAACTGACTCATGAAAGTCAAGCTGCCACCCGCTCCTGTGGTATGTGGTGTCAGGAGATGTTTCCAAGCATCCTGGATGTTTGTGATACTGTTAGTAGTTTTTCTATAAAATTTTGTCTTGGATATTCTTGATCAGCTGTCGTCTTGACAGGTAATAGCTCAGAGACAGGTGTTTAGGGAATGGTGTTGATAAAAGCCAGTCATCTTTTTCCTTTCTTACTGGAATTTTTGTGTTGCATTTTTAGTCTTATTTGTTCCCTAGAAGAGAATGTATGTAGTTTTATGAGATCACCAAGTGTATTCTCATTTTCAACTTTTGAACCAACTGATACATTTTCACATAATATGACATGAATGTTGTGCCACCTCATTTTCATGCTTCTTAATTCCCAAAAGTCTCAACACACAAACTTATGAGGTGGGAACTGAAGTAGCACCATTTAATGTAGATCCCTATGGTAATACATTTTCAAAAAATGTTAAATTCTTGCAAAGGTAATTATTTTGAATACAAAATAGCATGGCAGCTGTTGATTAGACAGCGATAACTGATGGACTACTGGACCTAGAAATGTGAAATTTTGTATGAAGATACATTAAAAAAATTACTGCAAACTGTTTGAAATGTTCATAAATCAACAGTTACAAACATGGCCACACTGAAAAATGTTGAGGCTATATCTGACAACTTTAACAAAGACTGTACTTCAGTAAGAAATTTTTCACAAACTGAAGACAAAACTACTACTAGTACTGCTACCACTACCACCACATCATCATCATCATACACATATTTACAATAGAAAGCAATAAAATAATATTGAATTGAGTACAATATGATCCTTATAAATATGATTCTTTCTTCTGACCAAAATATTTGTCTGGATACCAGATTTAAAAACATTTTTGAATCCTGGTCTAATGCATTGGTACAAAATAGAAATGTTAGTGTCATCTTCAAGTACTTGAATTTTCTTACATTTTCGAACGATTTATTAGCTATCCTTATATTCTGGTTCTGTCCTGAATTCTGATGCCAAGACATGATCATATACTTTGACTTTTCTGCATTTATTTCTAGACTAACATCCCTACTAGCCCATAAGATTCAAAACCGTGTGGGGATCTGCGAGCAGATAACCATTCTCATCTTTGATAATATTTCCTCTTGGTTGGTATCCTTTTTTCAAATCATTTATGCCTCTGTATAAATATCTCGTCCAAGGAGTCCTACCGAATGTCTATAGATCAAGCCAACGAAAAGTTGGGACCCGCAGTGCTCAGGCACTTGAAGAACGGGTCATTCCCAGTATCCCAGTATAAATATCTGATATATTTGTTTCTATAATTAGTTTCAAGTTCATTAATTATGTTATTAAGGTATTCCCTTTTCTTCTTCCTAAATGTTCTACTGGTTCCACGTCTTAAATTTTGCAGATTATCTCCATTGATTGTTGATATTATTTTTCAGTTTCTTTCCTAATTTAGATCATGGCCGCACAATCTGAGTCACTCAGATTTCAAAACTCCTTCTATCAAACATGCATTTTCATTCTTTTACATTTAGGTACCCTAGTAAATGAATCATTTGCAGAGACTATGGCCAAGATACAGTTCCTGGCAGGAGTAGGGTATCTTCTCTTCACTGTTCCATCCAGATTGGATCCAGCACCCACTGGGACCACGGGTTAATACTCGAAGGTTTAGGCTGGGGCCACACAACCGTACAAAGTACGTCCGTTGTAATGCACATTGTGACGTCCGTCATATAATTATGAAGGGGCATATAGGGTACAACACACGAAGCACGCGGACTTCACGATGTGCATTACAACGGACATACTTTGTACGGTTGTGTGGCCCCAGCCTAAAGTGGTGAACTGGACCAGACCACTCACACCAATCTATATTTACCTCCATGCCCCCCATTCATAATGATGTGATGCTCAAGCTTTATACCTTCATTCTCTGAGGAGTGATAATTTTACTTGATTAGTACATTATACAACTATTTGTTCAGTCCTGCATATATTACATACTAAAATTAATCCCTGCTGCTTGTTACCAAATTTTGGTTACATTTCCTTTGCTTTATGTATTGTCATGAACATGTTCTTATCATAACTGCACATGCATTCATTTGTAACAAAATTTATCATCAAATAAGGCTTATTCGTACTACTAATTTCCTTCTTTTGGACCTTATCTGCCATTGATTGTTATTAGCAAGTCATAACATTTGGGCGGATAGATCTGCCTTCATCTTTGGGTTTGAGTGAGTTTCTGGATCTGGTAGATCAAGTTACTCTCAAACTGTGGACAGATCCATACTTCAAAATGTGATTTGATTGTAAAAATCTACTGATGATGGATAAAGTAAAAAAAACAAATCTGTCACTATCACCAAACACATTTAGAGAAGACTCATATTTTTGTCTGAGTAATTGTTTTGTGTTCCATTAAAATTCACTGTATTCCAACACATGTTACATGTTATGTACCATAGCGGAAATTTAATTTTATTACATTCCACAGAGTATTGCTGACAAGTGATTAGCACCCCTGGTTTTTATAAGGACGTTCTGGATTAAAATCTTGACCCATAAGCTGGCTTTCCTGGGGTCTTTCCTCAGTCCCTCCAGGCAGATGCTGGGATAGTGCTTTAAATTAGGCTCTGGTCACATTCTTTCCAATTTTTTATAATTTTTTAATCATCCCATGACTTGACATTATAGTATAGTGTGAGCTATTGACAGCAGCATTACATAAACCATAAATAAGTAAATAAATTCTACATTCTTCTGTACTGATGTAGTAGAACATTTCCTGTTGTCTTATGGAGAATGTAAAATGTGGTCATGTCAGCATAGGTTTTCAAAACTATATTTTCTCCTACTTTTTTGTTTTCAAAAGTCTGATTTATAATGTTGTTTCTATTTCAGTTTTGATCATTGTACTTGGACTGTACATGGTATTTGGTTATGCTGCACAGTTATTGTGTAACATCATTGGATTTTTGTATCCAGCCTATCGCTCCATGAAAGCCCTTGAGAGTCCAAATAAGGATGACGATACAAAGTGGCTCACATATTGGGCAGTTTTTGCCCTGTTCTCCATCATTGAATATTTTTCAGATATTCTCATTTATTGGTTTCCATTCTACTGGCTTATCAAGGTAAATCATCAGCTTGCAGTTTATTCTAGTTCCTTTTTTATTGGATTTTATTAGTATGGAAGAAAACTGTCAGTCTTTATTTATGTGAGTCTTATTAAAAATGTTCCTCAATAGTGGCAAACACTTGCCTTTTGGTTCACGTTACTTTGAATGAATTTGAATAAACTGTGGTTGATTATTGTATCTTTAAAAATGATAAATGAACGCTGTCCCACCCTGTAGATCTTCCTATTGCTTTTGAAGTTTGAATGTTACTGCAGCCCAATGTGAAGAATGTCAGAGCTGACAAGAAATATTTCCACAAATACATATTCCTGTTACATTAAATTTTTCAGATGTAAGCCAACTGTTCTGCATGGATGCCGTGTTTATAATTGCTAACACATAAAATATGTTTTATACAGAATTCATATGAATGTTTGTGATCTGTCTGCATAAAAATTCACATCTAGTGTCATTGGTTCAGTAATAATTGTCATGAGACAATTACGTATAGACCCTGCTTGGATGTCGTGTTGTGTTACATTTTCAAAAAATAACTACCACTACAGAAGTTGAACATTTTTTAAAACCTCTGTTAACACACAAAATTTCAGGCTTTGTCCTAAATTTGGTGGTACTACCTCTGGAATTCACATGATTCAAACGTTGGTATAATTATGGCAGGAAATTACAAAGTGTAAAGTTGGGGTGGCCCGTAGTTGCATTATCTCAAAACTGTTTCATTAAAATCTGTCAGTTCAAAAAGTTGTTAGTGGGGGACATTCACGGATGAACTCTGTATTTAAAATATGTCTCATATCAGGAGTTGCACCAGCACTTATCACACACACACCCCTTCCCACTTGTGTATAGCTTTTCCTCTAGTTAAAAAAGTGCTAAATTCCGATATGTTGAGTATAAGTGTTTATGTTGATATCTCATCATTGCAATTTGTCATTTGTACAAACACAGTATAACATATGACAAAGTGCACCTTCTCTCTTTTGCTACAGTGCCTCTTTCACATTTGGTGCTTTGTACCACTTGAGAATAATGGGTCCATAATTATCTACAATAATGTGATTCGCCCCTGGTTTCTTAAACACCAGGAAAAAGTAGATAACATCCTGGATGATATTGCTGGATCAGGTACAGTAAGCTACTGTTTTAATAATATGGGACTTTTTTTAAAGGTCTGTTATCATTTGAAGTTTTAAGAAGTGTATGTAATTAACATGCCTGGTTAGCTTGGTAACTGTACCAGCTGGCTGTTTTGTAGTAGTACAAACTGTAAAGAATATTCTTTATTAAACTGACATAACATGCAATCTGAATTGCAAATTTTGTTCAGAATTTTAATTAACTTCTTACAACATGTCTAGTAGTTGATGAAAGCCTCTCGGGCTACAAGCCACATCAGGTGGCTGAATCCTCTGCCAACGTTTCGAGATATGGTCTTCCATCAATTTCAGTCGCCACGAAAGTTTCAATTTATACTTCTTGCAACATGTCTAGTGGTGTTCGACAAAACTTGATTTTGAGTTACTTTCGTATAGAAACCTGTTTTCATAACTGTCACATTTCTTAAAAAGGTTAAGCATTTTGTCTCTTCTTTTTTCTATTTCAGATTAGGTTACAAATCATAATTAAATTTCTTCTTGTAATAACTTAATCCTTTTCTTTTACAGCTGCAAAATTAGCTGCACAGAATGTCTTCAAGAGCGATTAAAATTCTTCATCCATTTATATCTTGAATATTGTAATTAAAATTCTCCATTTATGTGTTGATGAGTTTTCTAAGTATGCACTGTAAGAAAATGTATTATGTAATATGGCCTACTAAGGATAAGCATTGCAATTATAATAACCTTTCCTGCAAATCAGCCTGTGTAATTATAATACAAGTGAATGCACTGACAAGCTTAAGAACATCATGAAGTGTTTGGTTAAAATTATATTCACTGCTTCCGACATCATACTGTTCAGGTTTAATGTTTTGGGGTGGTAATGTAAATATTAGTGTTTTCCATGCAGGAAAACTACATTAAGTGATGTTCATTTGTTACTACTAATGGGAATTTTATATTAGGCTACATTGTTTGTCTGACTCGAGGATATCTCACATTTTCGAACAAATTAATTTGAAAAAGATTATATATGTCCAGTGGAGAAAGGTATGATTTGTATATGTTTATAAATATTACATGAATTATTCTGAATAGTTTACTAAAAGTAGCAATTTTATATTACTGCATATTGTTGAAAAAAAAGTAATAATAAATGTAGTAGTGTATCTCTAAAATTTCCTTCTGATTAAAATTTTAGTATTTTACTACTGATGCTGTGTAAGATTATATTGATCTTTAGTGAGAATTTAATGTTAAGGACTTTATTCATTTCCACTGTATTATTGTTTTTGTTTTTGGATACACTGACTTGTACAATGTACTTTCACACGGTGTTGGATAGAAATAAAAATTACAGTTGTTATTCCAGTGAGCTTTCAGGTTCTAATGGTTTTTTAAGTTGCTGGTGTTAGTATTCTGGCTAGTAATGTCATGTGCTGTCCCACGCGGTCTCAGACATCATGCTTCGGACCGGCGATACAGAGTGTGCGCTGGTTCGAGTCTCGGGGGAAAAGAAATTTTCTCATGAGCTTTCGACCAGTGTATGGGACCGGTGCCAACCCAGCATCGTGAGGAAATTGGGGAGCTACAATGGGTAGCGTAATCCAGTCAGGAAAGCTAGCAATGGCTGGGGGTTCGTCGTGCTGACCACACGTCACCCTATATCTGGTTGGATGATCGTTCACCTCTCCTTAGGCATGTGAACGTGAGACCAGCAGTCAAGCTAGTCGGCTTTGGCTCTCTGGAGCTGTTATGCCACGGATTTAATTTTTTAATTTTAATGTCATGTGCTGATGAAAAAGTTCAAAAGCTCGTGAAGTTTTTTACTCAGCCACAAATACTCAATTTCAGATGTTGATGAAGATGACATTTATGTAGCAGCTTCCAACATACACACAACCAGAGCTTCATTTACCAATCCCTAGACACCCTAAATTTACTAATGGGGACCTGATACGCTACAGAGCCATTACTGTAAGCAACAGATAATAAAACATGAAATAATGCAATAGGTATTTTCACCTGAAGATGAGCAGAGTCAGCTCCTAAAACATAGTGGTCTAATTTTGGAATATTGAATGTCAAGTCCAGAAAAACAGCGGTAATGAATGGGGATTAAACTTCGACTCTTTAATATTAAGGAACAAACACATTGAAGGAGCTTGAGAACAGGGCGCTGAAGAGAATTTTGGACCTTTGTAAGTGGGAGGAAGTAAAATGTGGCTGGAAAAAATAATATAATTTGAATTCTTCAAATATTATTTGGATGATCAGTCAAGGAAGATGACAAACAGAGTATGTAGAATGCATGAAAGATAAGCAAATTCAAACAAAAGCTCGGACTGAAAACTTGAAAGAAGAGATCACTTTGAAAAGCTAGGAGAAGATGGAAAGAAAATTAAGATGAATCTTGAAGAAATAAGATGGGAGGTGTGGATTCGTCTAGTTCAGGATATGGACCAAGGACAAGTTATAGTGAACAGGGTTGTGAACCCTCAGATTCCGTAAAAGAAGGATAATATCTTGACCAAATGAGCGAATGTTAGCTTGTCCAGAAGGATTTCGTTTCATGGAGTCAGCTAGTTGGTTATAACCACGAGTAGCCTACATATTGGGACAGTGATCGATATTTTCAAATTTCGAAATAATAAATGCGCACAGTCCCTGAACAGACATATAATATACAAACGTTAATGTTGAAATAGGACGCCCGAAAAAGATCAACAGGCTGAATCATAAAAGAAGAATTGTCGACTCGTTTTAATCTGGTGAAAATGTGAACATGATCTTTCTAGGGTACCACAATCCTATCAGCTAATAAACCTAATCTAATCTTTTGAAGTTGCATATAGTTTTTTGAAGAGAGGGTGTAGATAGTATCATTATGACGTGAAATGTGAGCCCTTTACACGACAGAGTGGTGTAGAATTGCAACATTAATTTACTCGAAAATTAATTACGCGACATTGATCGATTCCTTTGTCAATATTGGAGTACTACCGTTAATGAGGTAGCCATCGTTTATCGTGGATAAAAATCCTGTACTGTTTCAGAATACTACGCCGTAAAATGTAATATCCTTACATGTTAATAATACGATAGTCACAATACATAATAAAATAATTCTGTTGCATTTGACTTGTGCACAATTCAACAGAAAGCAAAAAGCAGATAGTTGTCAGAGGCGTATGAAAAGCTTCCGGCTACGAACATTTTATGCGCGTCACGAAACGGAGAGTACTCAGCGTCTATTTTATGTAGTTTGTCGGTATAAATAAATAAACTGTTGTAGCCTGTATTTCGACAAAAACCGGCAGTTTTTTAAACGAAACCCCAATGTTAGGATTGTTAATATCACTCTGTATTACCTGTGCTTGTATTTGTATAATGTATGCTGGCGATACATTTATTAAGCGGTAACTATTGTATTGCTGCCCTGCGTGGGATAATTTCGAATGATGAATTGGAATGGATGTTTGAAGAAGCTACAGTAATCTATTTTAAGGTTTTATTCTAGAATTTGCCTAGAGGTACTGTGAAAAACCACAAAACAATGTGACCAACCTCCAGACCGAGGTTCGAAACCAAAGCATCTTGAATTCAAAATAGAAATTCCAGCCACTCAGCCGCAGAATGGGTTAGTTAAACGAGTTTAGACAATTAATTCAAGCGCAGAACGAATTTGAAATCCTTGTATTGTCTTAGTAATGTCGTCCTGTCAAAAGAAAGATACTTATTAAACATTTATTATGTTTAGCTACTCTACCTCTCGTCAAAATAAGTTTTCGGATGCTATGATGACGTTATAAAACCTGAAAATGTACTGACTATTTATGGTGAAGCAGTTGGCAATATTTCGGCAGCCTTCAAACATGAAACATGTCGAAATAAATAGACTGTTTAACGATTTCCAACACCAATTATTGTTATTCGTGTGTTGTGACGCCGATGGACTCGTAGGTTCATATCAATGTTTTGGGAAACACACTGCTTTCATCTTTAGGGATTTATCTCTGAAAATGAAAGTGCGCCTACAGAAAATAACGAATTTGTAAATATGTGTACTCTGTCGGAGAACTTTCTTCCATGTATTGATAATGAGGTATGTGTTTTACGTCTTATATCAATATCTTGGCCTATAAAGACTCGTTCTTTACTAAAATGTTTAATAAATTAGGTAGGAGTTACAACGGGCCGATAAAGAATATACTGGAATTCTCCCGACAACAATTGGTGTACGTATTATTTAAAATCTATTAAGTTGCTTAGGAGATGGGATATGACCGTTCCATTTGCTATTCATGCTCTCAATGCAAATAATGTTTAAGAAGACGAACTATAGACATACAAACACTGTCCAGAATTCTTTCAGCTCTTATGACACTTCTGAAGTTTTGTATTTGTGTCATGAACACACAGTACACTCGACAGTTCAGTACAGTTTTATGTTAAACAAATGATTACATAGTGACTTCAAGGTTCCAGTCCGTTATCAACAAATGTAAAAGGCCAATAATGTATTCAAAAAAGCAAATAACGCATTTGTAAACAAGCCTATATGTACACTACAGAAGCCCACACCTCACATATCTTAATTATGAGTCCTGTATTTTACGTCTTATACCTGTTTCTTAGCCATTTTGATCATCTGATAAGAAGGGAAGATAATAACAGATGGTGAGTACGTAAGCCTTGGAAAGTTCGGTCTTGACCTATTTTTTAAAGTTCCCCCTACAACCGCCTGGAGATAATGAAGGAAACCACAGAAACCTCAGACCAAGAGGGACGGAGCCCACTCAAAATTCTAACGCGATCTCTCCCGAAAAAAATCTTACGTAGTTATCACTACATAAAACTAGTCTCTAAATCACTTTGAAACCAGTTCTTTTCTGAAAATCGTATCTATAGTTTGTGACAATAAAAGGAAAAGGAGCATTTCCTGATCATTTGCAGCTATCTGCAAGCTTCATTAAATTACCATTAACATAAAAAACAAAGTTAATATCATTCACACAAAAAATACATAAGGAATGAAAAATAATCTTTACATGGAAACACAGTGATCCTAAATAACTCCATGAAGCAGAGTCCTTGAAAAAATAATAGTGCGCTCAGATAATCATGCTATTTCCCGCCCTTTATTTAACACGAAACTTAACTGTCACGTTCATAAGAGCCTACTACCTGTCCCAATCCTAGGCCAGATGAAACCAATCCACACCCTCCAACATGATTTCCCTAATATCCATTTTGATATCATCCTTACATGTACGCCGAGATCTATGTGATCTCTTTCTTTCAGGCTTTACAACCACAATTTGAAAGTATTCCTCATCCCCCACGCGTGCTACATACCCAGCACATCAATCTTCTTCATTTGACCATCCCAACAATACGTATAGTAGAATTTGTGGAGTTAATTATTCAATTTTCTATAAAATTCTTCCACTCCATCCTTCTTAGGTATGTTAACATTTCGCAGCATGCTAGTTTTTACGGTGAAGTGTTGTTAACCCTTTGTCCAACCCCCAAGCCAGAGGATATATCCTTTCGGCTGTTCGCGACTGCTTATTAAATTTGCAGCTACCCTCCGTGCATACACACACATAAATAAATAAATAAATAAATATACTGATTTTGAAAATATGTGGCTCCTATATCTCTCTAGGAATGGTTTCTCATTACTTCACAACACGTTATGTGAAATCGCATGGTTTTTTGAAGAACTAATGGCTAATGCGGAAATTGCAGGTGATAACGAAGCGTTAACAAGTCTCACTCTACGCTATGTATAGCCCTGAGAAATGTTCGTTAAACAACGCAAAAACAAAATATTATGAACGTAATGAACCACATTTCTGTGTAGACTCTTCCTTTTTGCACGTCGCCCATGTACACGTGTGAGAGACGTCTAGAATTTCAACTTCATTACGGTTCTAAAAAAACAGAGCGTTGAAGGGGGTGTCTGTAATTTCAAACAGATTACAGAATAAAGAAAAGGTTTCGTATATAAAAATCTTGATAAAAACAAATTGGAATATAACACAATAATGCTTGAAATATTGAAGAGCGCATGCGTTATCATAGCAGAGTTGGCACTGGGTGGCAAAATGAGATTTGAAGACGAGGCCGCCGCAGGTGAGGTTTGCCAGCAACGAGAGTCCACGCTTGGCGGCCAGTTAAGTGGGAAACATCACAGAGAGAGGCTAAAAACAAAACAGGTAAGTTATCCGAAGTTCTATTTTAAAGCGCCCGTGGTATTCATGGTAAAGTATCTCAGGGAAGTTGACAGTTACTCAGCTGGTCCAAAAACGCACGCCTTTATGGAGCCCGAATGTTCGTCTCCGTGTTTACAAAAGCCTGCAATCAGGCACTATCTTGAACCAATTAAAACCAAACCACGTCCTATTTATCTAGGATCCGTTTCAACATTTAATTATGTACAGACCAGTCTGATATTTGTGGGCGTTTTATTGTGCTTCTAGAGAATATATTTAAATGGGCACGTACCTCGGGGAAAACTCTGACGTAGCACGGCAGATATTTTTCATAGTTCTCCTGTAACGCCGTGTTTCGAGCGATATTTTATCTATACACTGTTTCGGATTTCCATTGCAGTTTATTATATTTGTTTTTAATTTGGCTACGTGTCTCTCTGCCTTACCGTACCTTTAAATATTTACATTTGCAATTCAGAAAGTTTAGTTCAGATTTTTGTTAAAAATGGAAACAGTTCCATTTAAAAGTTTGTGGAAGTAATTCAGTAAAGAATGTGGGGAAAAGTACAAACGATAAAGCTGTGAAAGGGTTAAAGAAGAAAGGCGAAGAGGAATGACAGCAGGACGGACAAATGAAAGGAATGAGAAAGGGGAGGAGGTAAAGGTAATCCTGGAATAGCAATGATGATATTGCATGAGTTAGATCACCTTTAAACTGTATACTTCTTTTAATTATTTCATTCTGAGTTGTGTTCATATTTGTAGAACAAGGCACGGCTTTCTCTGGAATAATATATAATTGATATCAGACTAGCAAAATGTTTATATCTTGTTCCGGTGATTTCAACGGATCGTTCTGATGGTATAATTTACATTTAAAAATAATTAGGAAGAAGATTAAATCCGGAGGACGCTAGCTACCATTCAGTTCTGAATCTTACCTACCTGTTATCAATAATGCGAAATATTAAAATATCATAAACTATGTTTTACCTGTATTACTTTGTCGAAACTCAGTTTAAGAAAGGTATTTGAGAAAGGAATACTGGGAATATTTAGACCTAAGAGACCGGAAGTTAACAGGACGACAAACAAATTACACAGTGAAATGCTTAATCATTTGTATCCTTCTCCACATAGTATTAAGGTGACAAAATCAAGGAGAATCCGAAGGCAAGATACGAAATGCATAGTTTAAAACTTCATTCGGAAACCTGAATGGAAGAGGTTACTTGAGAGGCCCACGAGAAAATGAAGGGTTATATTAAAATATGTCTTAAAGAAATATAGTGTGAGGTGAGTGGTAGGTAATGTAAATAATTTCTTGACCAGCTGAACAAATATCAGTTTCTCGAGAAAGACTGAACTCCATGTAGTTGTTTAGATCCCCAAGTAGCAACATGCATATTGTTCAAATAAAAGTTATAGATGTTAATGGCATACAAGTTTCATGTAACATGCCAATGTATAATACGACGAGCAGCTTTTCAGAATTCTGATAAAATTTTATATTCAAACTATCTGAAGTAGAAACTTACAAGGGAGGTATCTTTGGTTTCACATGAAAGCGTGTGCGATTAACACATTTTAGGTCACTGAGTGCACCAGTGATAGCCATTTGCCGGGTCACACTCACGCCATTTACAAACCGCCCAATTGACGTAATACAGGCACAGCACAACATGACATTCGTACTGCATCGATGTAGCTATTTCTATGGCAGGAAAACTGGACCAGAACGTACATATTTATTTCCAGAAACCTGAATGAAACTTCGCGAAAATATTTTTGGAGAACACGTCGACGAAAGAGATTTGCTTCTAGTTCATTCGTGAGCTTGTCACAAGGAACTTGCTCTGCCAGGTAAAAATATGAATGTGTATCTCGATTTCTGTCTTCTGGGTTGTTGCGCCGTGTAGTCTGGTAGCTGTTAGCCAACGTTTCAGAGGTCCATGCTGCCTCCGTCATCAGGGCGGTGAGTATGAAGATTTCTGTCTTCTGGGTTGTTGCGCTGTGTAGTCTGGTCGATGTTAACCAACGTTTCAGAGGTCATACTGCCTCCGTCATCAGGGCGATGAGTAGTAAGATTTCTGTCTTCTGGGTTGTTGCGCTGTGTAGTCTGGTCGATGTTTACCAACGTTTCAGAGGTCATACTGCCTCCATCATCAGGGCGATGAAGATTTCTGTCTTCTGGGTTGTTGCGCCGTGTAGTCTGGTAGCTGTTAGCCAACGTTTCAGAGGTCCATGCTGCCTCCGTCATCAGGGCGGTGAGTATGAAGATTTCTGTCTTCTGGGTTGTTGCGCTGTGTAGTCTGGTCGATGTTTACCAACGTTTCAGAGGTCATACTGCCTCCATCATCAGAGCGGTGAGTATGAAGATTTCCGTCTTCTGGGTTGTTGTGCTGTGTAGTCTGGTAGATGTTTACCAACGTTTCAGAGGTCATGCTGCCTCCGTCATCAGGGCGATTCATCGCCCTGATGACGGAGGCAGCAAGTTGTTTTTATTTCACCTGATCTCACTTCGACATTTTTCTCTGTTCGACCCTAAGTAGGCCCTTCTTGAAAACGAAGCATATTTTTTGTGCATTACACAACACCGATATTTCATCGTCTACAATCCTATTGTAAGTTCATTACTGCATCTGTACACAACCTCATGCTTTGAAACAATGCCACAGCCCCTAATTTGGAAAACTATCGTATTGCACCGAAAATAGCCACGTATTGGTGCACACTCCTGCTTCCTGCACGGGAGGTCCCAGGTTCGATTCTCGGTCGGCATCCCGGGTATCTTGAGGTGTTTGTGGTTTAAGACATGCAGTTGGCGAGCACAATTCAAGACGTGGGCGACGCGTCGATGCTCAGGACTGATTATTCGATTCTTTTGCTGCTAGGCTTCAACGGGGGAGGAGGTTACAACGATTTCGTAACTGGTCAGGTAAAAGGTGTCCAACCTCTTCAAGGTAACGACACATGAATATATACCAACGGAGAATAAACAAGTTACGAAAAAAAAGCCAATGCAATTTATTTCAAAATTGTATTTCGCGACATAATTATGCGTCATGAAAATTTCCGAAGTTATATGTACTTTCGCTGTGTAACTTGCGTCCATGTGTTAGAAAGCACGAGGTAAGGAACCTCTTACTTGTGCAGGTAAGAAAGCGTTGTAAATAAATTAGTAACCTAAATCCCACCGCTAGAGATTGGAAGCCAAACACATGAATGAACCATATTTAGAAACATTACGTCCATCTGACCGCTAATTACATGTCTTGAAGCCAACAATGCGATGTAGAGAGTACTGTCGGTGAGATGCGTCTATTCTAGTTACCAAGATAAACATAACACACATTTCAGCCACTATCACTTTGCCAACTGCCTCCTACTTCTAACGACCCACGTGCCTGCAATAGTGACCTTAAAAGACATAGAAAGTGAAGTTCACAAATGTAATTTAAAATGCACAAGCTGCATCTCATTGTCACTGTCAGGATGAGATATTGGCACAGATAATAATCCTGTCATATTGGATGCGGATCACGAGGGACAAGACTGCTGGAAGTCTCCGTTGATTCTTACTACGAATAAAGGAAGGAAATGTGAAAAGTAAAGTCAATTTTATATTACCTAATACTAAATACTAAAAAAGCTGGCAGAAGTAAGAAATATTAATCAGTCAAATTTGCTTAGAATAATATTAAGCAGTCAAATTTGCTTAGAATAATAACCAGTTTGGCGATAACTGGATGGAGAAAGTGAAATTTTACGAATACGTACGAAACAGAGGACGGATGAGAGCTGATTGTACGGATTATGAGTGGCCCTCGACGTACGTCGGGTGCAGATCGAAGAGAGTATCCGGGACATCCAAAGAATTAGCAATGATAAAACTATCAGAGATGAGCTTCAGTCATAGAAAGAGAAGGAATAAGAATGCTTAAGGTCAAACCGAAAACATAATCAATGGTAAAATAAAAAAATCTGCAAGCCTTTGGGCCAAATTAATATAAAAGCAGGATGCCTACTTTCAAAAAGAAGCCATGCCAAACCAATGTCTGATTATTTTATAATTTTTAATATATTTGTCTTCATTTTATTACTTGCCTTCGCACAACCCGAGTTTACTATTATTAAAGATAAACAATAATAGTTAACACGAGAAAAAATTAATAAGCACTGACATAAACGAAACGACGTACGTTTTAGAAGAATTCAGCCACCATCATATTCACAAAAAATTGCTGAACTGGAAACATGCCAGAAGAATAGAAAACAACAAACTACTAAAACAGATTATAGCACACAAGTCTAGGGCAAAGAGAAGTTAGGAAGGCCACTGAAGAGATGGCATGAAACTGTAACAGGCCGCATGGCCTAAACAATAACAAGATAACGATGACGTCTGACCTCTTCCACCGTTTCCAATTTACGGTGAGGAGGCTGACAGCCTATTTAATCTCCTATATATTCGGTATCCACGGTGGTCTAGCGGTTAGAACGCTGGCCTTGTAATCCTGGGGTCTCGGGTTCGATTCCCGGCGGTGCACGAATTTATAACTTGTGTTGGGCAAGGTCGTGGTCTAGGCAACACGGAGTTTTCCTCCGGGGGCTTCCCCGGTTTCTCCGTGGCATCCCAACAATTACTCCATTCACACACAGAAGAAGGCAATGGCAAACCACTTCTGGATAATCTGCCAAGAACGTATATGAACAGGTCCCAGTCCGAGAAAAGGATGGAAGGATCCTGTTCATATGGACCTGTCGTCAGACAGAACACTAATAATAATATTCGGTATAATTCCTTTGGATTGAGAATCGACCAACTCCAAGACGGCGGGACAACAGAAGGAATACGAAGTCACGCCCCAAAAGCTGTTCTAAGTCGCAGTTCGGTAGACAATACACGGCCAATGCGTTCGGAATTTATGATAAAAATGTAAAACAAATATATGACCGTAAGATTTGAGGTTTTCACAACGGTGAGTATGAAGATTTCTGTCTTCTGAAACGTTGGTAAACATCGACCAGACTACACAGCGAAACAACCCAGAAGACAGAAATCTTCATACTCATCGCCCTGATGATGGAGGCAGTATGACCTCTGAAACGTTGGTTAACATCGACCAGACTACACAGCGCAACAACCCAGAAGACAGAAATCTTCATACTCATCGCCCTGATGATGGAGGCAGTATGACCTCTGAAACGTTGGTTAACATCGACCAGACTACACAGCGCAACAACCCAGAAGACAGAAATCTTCAAATACATGACCCATTTCAGTGAGCAATGCGCACTAATACAGGTTCCAAATACTTCTAATGTATAACCATGGAGTTCCGCTATGTTTATAATCAACGCACAAAGATGTTTCAGACAACACTGTAAGTTTGTTCATGATTGTCTAAGCACAGAACTTCACATGTATGGCTTTGATGTTCATACCAATTTAACCAATTCAATGAAACCCATTAATTGGTTCAAAAACTATTACCGGAGATGCGTGCTCGGACACGATACATAAGCCCGCAACTTATAAATTAGGAGAGTTGACATAAAATACCTTTTGTCATTTTCAGAGTGGCAAAGACTTCACATCATTGTAATCACAAAACATTGGCACTGTAAAACTCTATTTAAAATCAACTGTACCTTGAATGTGGTCCACTGACAAAATGCCAAGTTGACCCGGAATGCTTAAAATAAATCAGAAAGGTGACCCGTCGCATTGTTGTTGCAATAAACAATACAGTAAGACTGCACATTGCACATTCGTAATATACCACGATACGCAATATGCTGTGAATATTCCAGGAATACGTTTTACTGGATTATTTTAAACGAAATGTTTACTCTTCATAAAAGTGGCACGATGAACCTACCTGTTAACATTATTTTGAATACTTGCGTTTAATGTTCGCTCCCCGCCCCACAAAAAAAGATGTAGTTTCAGACTGTGGTGCCCCCTTTTTTTAAGAGTTTAGTGGGTTTTCTCAGTCTCTCCAAGCGAATGTCAGGGCAGCACCCGGACATAGGCCAAGACCGCATCCTTTCAAATTCTTACCATCACCGTTCACAGCACATCTCATTCGACGGTAAGCAGTCTCGACGACTAAACCAACGTCGTTACTACCCGCAAAAAAGAACTACAGAATGAAAATGAGATAAAATTAATGCAAGAATGAACTCTGTTTCAAGAATCTCTTGAGTTAAAATTCTGATGACAATTTTTTTTTTACAAAACGTATAAAGAAAGGGGGTTATGGCCTACATATGAAACTACTGGGTAAATTTATGATAAAGCGACTTTTCTATGTTCTTAGTTCAAATTTAACATGGGTAATATGGGGTGGAATATGTGGATTATTATGAATGATTAATCGGGAAGGCAGTTGACGAAAGCCGTCGTGGTTTATTTTACGGTATAATCCCACCATCTTCTTGCACAAGCTCATTCTTAGTTTCTTACACACTCCTTTTACTCTGTCAATGAATTTATGTTATTTACAAATAAATCATAAATTTTTCTTGTGTGTAATGGGTAGATCTATTTGTAGCTTATCATTTCTCTAGGTGAATACTTTGTTTTGTATTATGTGAAAGTTATATAATAGTTTGAATTGTACTTTATAATATGTATTGTATTATTATGACTTTTTCCACATCCTATTGTCATCTGACTGTCTTATGGATCCATGGAATATAAATAAATTATTATTATTATTCTTTAACGAGGCTTTCTCAACACTCAACACTGTAGGTTGCGTAGCTTCGAGATTGAGAAGTGATTGTCAAGCATGAATTGAGTGGATGTGAAAGGAAGCGGTAGTGATCTATATGACAATACTTTCTTTACATTTGTCTGGGAAACCTGATAAAATTCGCGAGAATTCTCAACCAGGATAACCGGCATCTGAGCCGAGAATCGATACCGGCACCCCCCCATAAGAAACAGAAATCCTTTCGGCAGAGACTGAGAAAATGCACAACACATTTCAGTTGAAAATCAAATACTGACTTACCACATACAGAGAAGAGCTGAAAATAATAATTTGTACCTCTACACCCGTCCGCCGCACAGAGATTCTCAAAATCGACTGATTATTAAGCTGTTGATTGGAAAAATAAACAAACTCAGTGGTATGCACGCGAAATATGCCTCTGGCGGATACTTTAATAAACAAAACTAAAATGATCACTGGTCTCTTATGTCAGATTCGCAACATACATTGCTTCCTTTCTTATCACAGAGGCGCCTTAACTGGAAGCAGAATTTGCATAATATTTCTGACTACCACAGTTATTTAGCTCAGTCAATATGTGGCTGATGACAGGGTCTCGATTACTGGCAGGGCCAGGAATTTCTCTGTTCGCCGCCACATCCAGACCGATCTAGCTCCCACCATGCCTCCTATTCAGTGGATATTCTAAAATGACAATCCAACCTGGGACCTAACATGAAGGAGTGCCAATGACTGATATGATTCAAAATCCCTTCAAGAAAAGAGTGGATGAAATAGAAGTATGTGCAGATACAACAAAGTGAAAGTACATATCTTCATCTTTATGCTAGCACATCTTAAAATTAATTATAAAAGTTGCAATTGTATTTGCTTAAGACTTAATTCAATTATCAACTTTGCTCAACTTGATTTTATTATATACCTAAGTAAGATATTAACCAACTCCATCAACCACTGTATCACTTTTCAGACATACTTTAAAATCTGCAAGTATTGTCCATCCCAGACTCATCAATATATAAAAGATTCTCAGGACGTTTTGTTGAAATAACCTTTAAAAATTGAGATCACTCTTCTTCATTTCTCTCTTTGTGGTCCAGGGTATTCTTCAAAATTTTATAATTACTCAGATGGTCAATAAATACCCTGTAATGAAATTCAAAGATTCATTACATTTCTTACATTTTAAAACATATGCCACACAATCATGTAGCGCGCATGGATGAGACAAGAGGTGTGCACCGGGTATTGGTTGGGAAGCCGAGGGGAAGAGACCACTGGGGAGACCAAGACGTAGATGGGAGGATAATCTCAGGCGGGATCTATGGGAGATAGGAGTTGAAGGAGACTGGATTTTGTTGGCCCAGGACAGGGTCCGGTGGAGGGCTTTGGTTAATTCGGTGGACCTAGACGTAGATGGGAGGATAATCTCAGGCGGGATCTATGGGAGATAGGAGTTGAAGGAGACTGGATTTTGTTGGCCCAGGACAGGGTCCGGTGGAGGGCTTTGGTTAATTCGGTTATGAACCTTTGGGTTCGGCAAGGAATCTTGTTACTTAGTTAGTTATGCCACACAATAAAACTGCATAAACTTGTGCTATTTTAACAGGAAAATGAGGTTGTGGTGGGTTCTCCTGCTTGGTGTACTAATTGTGAGTGGCACTGTGAGGAGTGCCAAAGTTCCAAAGGACGGTGATGACGAAGACGATAAGGATAATAATGGAGATGACAAGGATAATAATGTAGATGATGGTAAGTACTTAGTTTTATGCCTCACATACAAACTAATAAGACTTGAATAAAGAAATGTTAAGAAGACCATTTTGAAACAATGCACACCATTAATAACGCTTCTTTGAGACAGTCTTCCAATAATCTTCCCCACTTATTTTATAGTTCACTAAGACAAAAGACTTTGAAGGGTAAATGGGGTAAATTAGCTAATAATGAATACAAATACAGCATACTCCTGATTACCTGGGTTGGTAAAATGCACTTACACAAAAATTATAGCATAAACTGAAAAAGCAAACTTAACACGAGAGATATAGCATTGGTAACTTCTAGCCCACCACATGAATTTGTTCCTTCACCCACCATGATCCTTTAATTAGTTCACATACCTCCCATATTTGAAGTTAACATAGCCAGGTAACACTGTACAACATTTTAAAAACAAAATTATATTCTTTGACAACTTTCTTCAATAACATATACAGCAATATGGCATTATTTATTCCATGAAGTTGGAACAAGCTTTGTTGTGACTGCTGTTATAACACTGTGTGATAGTTTACAGAATATGTGTCAACAGAGAAGCTACCAATACACATTTTCCATGAGTCAGTTCTAGTACTCTACTACACCTGAATTTTGACCATTTTCATGCCAACTGATAAAGTTTCCTTATGATGGTGGATTATGTCTATTTACTCTTATTTCAAAACGAAACACCACCTCTGCCCTTTCAGATTCCAGCTAAGTCATTTCTCACCTAGTTGATTACTTTAATCCCATGAACTGAACAATTCAGAAAAGCTCCTGTCATGATTTCATATCATTTTAATTCAGATAATTTTGGTTTGGTTACATATTACCTTCAAAGCAATACCAGTAGCAGGTTTCCTACATTTACAGCTTCTACACAAGCTATCCCCAGGAGCCAGAATAGCTCAGTTGTATAGTGACTAGCTAAGAGCTGGACAATTGGGGTTCGATCCTGGACGGGGACAGACAATTTTTCCTCTAGCCTCTGCATCCAGACCAGCTCTGGGGCCCACCCGGCCTCCTATCCAATGGGTACCAAGGTCCTTTCCTGGGATAAAGCATGGCCGAGGCATGATGCTGACCACTCACCCCATCTAGTGTGGTCAAGAAAGTGTAGGAGCTATACCTCCACTCCCCCCAAACGATCTACATGGCATGTAGTGGGACAGCTTTACTATTTTTACACAAGCTATCTCCACTTAGACCAAGATCTTCTAGGTTACTGTGACATGTAGCATAATCCTACAAGCTATCAGCACTGTGAGCGAGGTGTCCTGGATTATTATACTACGTAGTTATTCCCACAAAGTGTCAGAACTTCCTCCAGTAGACCAGTTCATCAAAGCTTCATTTACACAGATTATGACACAAGAATTATGTATGTGACAAGGGGAAGTTATTGGAGAAACATTACCTTTTTATCAAAATCAAATTTTCAAAGCCTCATTTGTCTGAAGACATTCAATAATATGAATTTATAGTGAATCTGCTAGGCTTATAATATGACTAACTGAACTAGTTTTTCAGAAATAAACACATATGAAAACACTGTATATGAATATATATAAAATTTAATTTCAGACAATGATAACGATAAGGGAAAAGATGATGATGCCAATGATGATGATGATAAGAAAGGCAATGATGATGATGATGAAAACAATGATGAGAAAGGTAAAGATGGCGACGATGATGATGATGATGATGACGACGACGATGATGGCAACAAGGGTAATGAAGATAAAGCTGATGATGACGATGGAGCAAGATATCTAGTTCCAATGGCTCCAGCTATACTTTTAGTAGGAACAACAACTTTGAGAGTAATTGGTTGAAGACTCATGAAAAGTGAACAAGAACTTTATATCCGTCCTCCAAACATCACTTATATTTCACTAAAGAACATGGCGAGAACTCTCAAAGTAGACCTATCTACAACACTGCAGTGGTTTTTATATGCAGCCCATGTATTTTAAAAGTCTTAGTCATGTGACATGGAATTCCATATCCTATAACATATTTGACTCATGACATTACAATTTAAGAATTGTATTAAATGGAAAACATTTTGAGTGGATAAATTTACTATAAATATTCTGAGGAGGATATTCTAGATGACAAATTGGTCCCACGTGACATGCAGTAAGGGCTCATAAGTGCTGGTATGAGGCATGGCGGAGCTGCCTTGGCCCATGTAAACTACATGTTTAAATTATAACTGGTGTGCAAAGACTACAAATAAACTAACCCATGTCTTTTAAATGACTCAATATCAAAGTAAACTGTACTGAATAAGTGCAAAAATATATGTACTAAAATTATAATATATTTTTATAATACTACAAACTTTAGATTGTTGATGTATAATATTGTTGTACAATAATAATGGGTATTGATGTAGCTATTATTGTGAACCTAACTTGTAGTTGCAGACAATATGTAGTATCATTATACAAATAAAGCTTTTGGCACTTCTAGAATATTCAAAGGAGTTGTAAAGCTTTTGGTTATCGTGCAGACCAATATTACAAAGTTTAGTTAAAACACAGACAATGTTTTACATAACTGCACCAAAGTACTTAGCTATAGACAGATACCTAAACTGTGACAATAATAATGAGATGTTCACCGAAGTACAAAAGCCCTATGGTTTATAACAAATGTCACCATAGTATTCATTATTGGTTCTGCTCACTGATGATGGTAATTATGATCCTTATTTAAGCATAACACAATTCCCATGATCTGTACAAATAACTTGCTTCAGCCACATGCAATGAAAATTAAAGGCTTCCCTTAAGCATACACCTAATTGGCCAAACTGTCTACATCAGTGATTCCCAAACTTCTTTTCCATGTTTATTAATTTTGTTTCAAATATTTTTGTAAACCGAGTTGTTCTGCAGACCACCTGAATGAAGTTCATGTTGTGTACCTTTTTGGTCTAAAGCACACACCCAGAGACACTGGCTACACACACAAAAGCACCATTTTACACGGTTGTTCTTCAAGAATTTATGACTCATTCATTTGTGATGTGTAATTACTAATTCTAGACTGCACAGAAATCATCCTCTTAGTAAACTACAATTATAAATTGAAGTGTGTACTATCCAGTATGTGTAACTTGTGGAGTTTGTGTAAAAAATGTAAGACTGTTTCTAATAAAAGTGTATGATTACTTTATCATCATTTACTCCTTAAGTGGGTCCTTTGCCACCATGGCATGTTGCATCCTCCAGTTGCAGATGGAGAAGACAACCTCAAAATATGCAGAAATGCTGAGAATATATTGAATGAACAGTCACAGAGAGGCAGCCAGCTTAACTAATTAAAGCATAACACGTACGTATGGTTGATTCTTGGTTTATTTAACAAAGCTATATCAGCTTCACAGCTTACATGCCATCAAACAATACGATGATTATGAGTGATGAATTGGATGTGGAAGAAAGTGATCACATATGAAGTTTGAAAGAAACAATTAATTTGTTTTCAGAATGGCATTTCAGATTTTTATGGACCATCCTCCTTAACAATGTTCTTTCTTTTTTCATTATTGGTGAGGTCAAATGGCAGCCCATAGATTTTGAATAGAACTATCTACAGTGTGACAGAATTAATATTCCATAATTAATGTTTTGGTGAAATAAGCCCTCAATAATTCCAGGCATGCTAGTAAAAGAGTTATTAAATTTTAGTTTAATGTGTGTCTGGACCTGAGAAAGCACTATTAATGTGATTTTTATATCCAGGTCCCTCAATGCCAAATAAAACAAAATGCCCAAGTTAGAGTGATAATTATTTCTGTTTGCAGTATATACATATTGTACAGCCCTGTCAGCAAAACACTGGTCAGGACAGCTAAACATATGTGTATGCTACATTTGATAGTGTGAAAGACTGCGGCTGTAATCATAGAACAATTAATTTTTTGTTGTTCTTTCACCATGATGATGGATGCAGCAAGCACATCTGAAACATCCAAGTTTTATATGGCTATCTGGCTGTCTGTTCATCCCCATACTTCTAAATATTTCAATTAAATTTTATTTTAGATGTGTTTCAGTGTATGGAGTACCAATGAATTATAAATATCTCCATTATCCAAAAAGTCAGAAATACAAAATTTTATGCCCAACAGTAGTTTGTCTCAAGGCATCTATTGGTGCAAAGTGTGTACATATATGTAGGATTTGAGGTTTTCACGGCAGAGAGTCTGAAGATGGTTGTCTTTTGGGTTGTTGCACCGTGTAGTCTGAAACGTCGGTAAACTTCTGCCAGACTACATTGCAAAACAACCCAGAAGACAGCCATCTGTATACATATATATACAATATGTTTATAGTTATAACCTTTGAACCAGCCATTTTTAATTAAAAAAGAATTGTGAGATTGCTAGGAATTACATTTGACCAAGAATAAACAAATTTCTAATCTATTAAAAAAACTGCTCCACTGCCAAAAAATTAAAATGTTCAATTATGAAGCAACATGCTCATCCTTTTGGAGTCTTGGCAACACTGGCAGGTATGAAAAGATCTAACAACACTGTCAGGCAAACCACAGCAGTAAAGAATACAAAACTGAATCAGCAGAGTACTCTACCAGCAGTGTTGTTTCTTTTACCTTAATTGTGTGGGTAAAGGTTGGAAAATGAAAGAAGTCTGTAGTAAACCTACTCCTAATGACGGGAACAGATTCAATATGTGTGACGAATACATTAGAATTTGAAGTTATTGGCTGCTGCACTATCAGAACAGAATGAATACAGATTTACTTCTGAAAATCTTGTATGATTATGATCCAGAGAATCTCAGAATTGTATTCTTCACAGATGTTCAAACTGCCCAGAACAGAGTCAACATTCATTGAAGAATTATTTCAAGCTAATGATTATGAAGTGGAAGACAGAATATATAGTTCTGAAGCAATGGGCTCATGATAGTCATACAGAAAATTGTATCCATGATAAGTACTGAAGAAATCTACTGAATGGCAGATAAAGCAACAACCCATCATATTACAGCAAAGTCACAAGCTTCATATTTGAAGATGTTGAAAGAAACTGTTATTTTACTCAATTGTTCTGAGAATTGTTTATTTTTATGTCAAGATACCATACAAGGGGTTCGATTGGCAAACTGATCAGGCTACTCTCCACCCTTCCATAATCTAGCTTGAAAAAAGAGTGTGTAGGTTTCTGTGTCATTCGTGATTGTCTTGAGAATACAGCAACTACAGTCCACTCTTCGTAAGTTACAAAACACAAAATATTCCCTTTGTTCATGTTCTGCGTACAGAACAGTGCCAGCAACATCATTGTAAGGAAGGAGTGGATAACATTACAGACTTCATGCATAATTTGCAAGAATGTTCCTCAGTACATTGAAAAAATAAGAATGTAGTTTAACTGTATTTATATTGGTTGATAAGTTTGTGTAATTTTATAAAAATGTTCGTAAGATTTGAAGCACATTTTATTTACTACTGAATGCTATGAGGGAATGTTTCTTGCTTATACATTTAAAAATTTATCTCGCATCAATCTAGTGAAAGTCTACCCTGCATACATTTTTATCTGATAATACAATCCTTTGTGTTTGGTACAGGTATCACCTTCTTAAATGTATTCCCACATTGGTTTCTTAGTTAAGAAAAACCTGGTATAAAGATTGCAACAACCAGACTAACTAACTAACTAACTAGATGGCTTACCGAACTCAAAGGTTCATCACTGAATTCACCAAAGCCCTCCACCGGACCCTGTCCTGGGCCAACAAAATCCAGTCTCCTTCAACTCCTATCTCCCATAGATCCCGCCTGACATTATCCTCCCATCTACGTCTAGGTCTCCCCAGCAGTCTCTTCCCCCCAGGCTTCCCAACCAATACCTGGTGCACACCTCTTTTCCCATCCATGCGACAACAACCAGACTACTGCAGTTATATGAATAAACTTTGCATCAATTGATTCCATGAGAAAAAGTATCACTGGACACCAAATTTTGTATTTATGACATCTTAAATAATGGATACATTTACATATTTCTAAAGAACATTGGCTGCCACACCCTAAAACTGCCCAATTTTATTAATTAATATCTAAGAATTTATTCACAACAGAAAACTGAAACTTTTAAAAAACTTTTACTTCATGGATAACTACCTGTAAAATGAAAATTATAAAAATCAGTGATGACATGGCTGACAGCACCATTTGGTCTGACATGGAATGACCATCTACGGATTTTAGTTTTGGTTTTGGGTTCTGTCAGTATCTTCTGAAGATTCTGAGGATACAAGCATTTTGGTCATGAAACTAACAGCGATTATGTTTTTGAGTTGACCCGAAAGCAGGTCTCCATGAGAGCTTTATGTTAAATTCTGATCAACTGTGTGACTAGAAATTTAAAAAATGGAATAAAACCCTAGTACACAGATGTGCAAAGACAAAGAAGAAGTCTTTCCTACTTCTTAGTCACTCTCTACTGCTGATAGCAAACAGTTTCCCTGTCTCCTACGTGAAATCATGCCAAGAATCAGCCAGCCACCTCCTGGGCTTAGGGTAATCTTGTGCTAAGAGTGCAGGGTTGCCTTTGAAGTTTACCATGGCATAATTAAGAAATTATTTGTACATAAAACATTTTTATAAAATCAAATTACAACTCCTTTTTACTATATTTGTAATACAAACTAAATATATCGGCTGTATACCTGTTGAATGTATAAATTCCTTATAATTTATGTTTCATGTATTTTTCTTAATTGTCTCTGGTGGGTCATTCTTTATCAATAACCTCCTATTTGGATCATTCTTCAGTCCAAGTTCCATCCTATACACATTCCACTTCTGTTCAGGATCTACTCTTTTAGCACAGAAAAATAATGTCCCTTTGTTTTTGGGACCCTTGACTGGAACTTCTAATTGTGCATGAGTTGCATCACAGACATTAGCAGTGGTATTCCCTAAATCAACATTCCCTGATTTGATTGGCTCTCCCAACAATGACACAGATGGGCGATGATTGCGCAATATTTTCATAGCTTCTTTATGAAATTCTGAATCTTTAACTCTTGATTGCAATTTCAAATGCAACAGCACGCCTGTACTTGCTACCACCACACCTCCATAGGCAGCAATCTTTGCAAGTGTTTCATTTGAAACCATATTATCTGAAAGGGAAAGATAATAACAGCTCACAGAATAATACTTAAACTAATGTCCACATATTCCTTGGGTTACTTAACAAAGCATTTGGATAGTACAACTGAGGAAAATCATGAAAATCTCATCTAGGAAACCCAGTCTCCAAGCCAAGACTCGGGACCTCTCTAACCAAAACAGAAATGTACTAGCCGCAACATTCTTGGGAATAAAAAATGTCAGGTGGTTTAACAGGAAGAACTGTAAAATGTAAAGCTGTCCCATTATTTGCCAAGGGCATGTTTGGGGGGGAGAGTAAGTATAACCCCTAATCATTCCTGTCCTCATTAGTAAAAGGGGATGAGTGGTCAGAGTCAAACCCCAACTGCACTTTAACCCCAGGGAAAAGGACCCCATTACCCAATAGATAGGAGGCTGGGTGGGCCCCAAAGCTCATCTGGATGCAGAGGCTAGAAGAAAAATCCTTTACCCCTTCTAGGGACTGGACCCTGTTGGCCAGACTAATCTACCTTGGCTCTCAGAAAATCAGTGTAATGACATTTTTTGAGTGCATACAATTTTAAGAAATTTTGTTGTTTAATTATATGTCTTTTTTATGTTTGTTACCATACATGTGATGAAACTATAGTTTCCTTCATTTTCTGAAACACATTATCATATATGATAATGGGCCAGGTGAAACAGTGTTTGGAGGAGTGAAAGAGAAAAACATACAAGGAAAAATTCGAATTTAATAGGGATTCACTTCTTCTGTTGTACAAGGAAAGGATTCATGGGGAAAAATGACATGTGTAACGATGGTATAGAGTGAAGGGTGTTTCATGTTTCTAAGCACACTTAAATGTATTTTATTTTTATAACAGGGCATGACGGATCTTGACATTTGTAAGAACTGAAGAGGAGGTGAAAGTACACACACACAAAAAGAAACTATCCCTTAGTCCTTTAATCTTGAATAACATACGATGGTGTTGATTGGGAAACTGGCTCAGGTTAAAATCCAGTGACGGGCTTCTGTGAACACCGTAAAAGGTAGGGAATGTGCTATCCATGTAAGTGACAATCAGTTTCGGAAGTAAGATGTTCACACACTACGTTTTCCTAACCTGAACCATGTGTTTTGAAGGCCTTATAAACGCATTACCAGACATACTTCAAAATATAACCATATAATTAGGTTATAAATATAGAGTGCACATATTTAGACAAAGAGACATTAATGACATACCCCACACTACAATTAAAACTCCACACTCTTCTTACGACTAACGCACCTTCCTATACAGCACTTCTACCGGGTCAAAAACCACAGTATCAGATAAGAAGAGGCCAAGAGTTGCAAAACCGAACTGTTATTGCCATCTATTGGAAGGTATTTACAAATACAAGTCCTTGTCTAAGAATGCAGATGGCTCTAGTAATCTGTTTGACAACTCCCTTGGTTTGCTTCCAGTCCTCGGAAATTAAACTGAATATGAAATATGAGTATGAACTTCGCATTCGCAAGTCACAACGTCCAAAAAGAATACCGGTGGCATACAATTTACAAATGATTTAACAATTTTGAGTTTGGAATGCCATTATAATCCGTTAGAACTGCTGTCAGATCACAATGTGAGAGGAACAAGGACAGAACAACTGTAACAAACCTGTACGATCTACTTATAACGTAATGAGCCATGTTAATCACGCTTGTGTATACTGTTACCGTAACAGTCGCCATGAGCAGGTGAGGGAACAAGGTGTTGAGTAGCATAATAAGGCGTAAGAGTAATGAAGGGGCGGGAAGATGAAGAAGATCAAGGAGGATGGGATGGGGGAGATGAGAAATGCGAGACAAGTTTAGTTCGAAGGCTTGAAAAGACGACCCCTCCGAAGACGTAGGCGCACGGAAAAATAATATTAAAATACATCTTCGGAAAACAGGGTTGGAAGGTGTGGGCTGGTTTCATCTGGCTCAGAATAGGGGCCGCTGGCTGGATATCAGACTTCCATAAAAGTAAGGGAATTTCTTTACTAGCTGAGCGTAACCTACTACTTGCTTCATGTAGTTAGCAAGTTAGTTTGTCAGTTTTCGTTTATTCCAATATCATACCTGGTATGAACGTTCGTCCGAGAAAACTAATTTTTGGAGAAGTGTTAAAAATTTGGGAACCACTGGCCCACCATAACGATTGGACTGTTTGTGAGAACGTGGAGTACGAAATACGATGCAGAAGATGAATCAGTGTCACCACTAGTAGTCTCGGTTACATTTGGTAAAAAAGCAATGAAAGATAGAGACACAAAAGTCAAACAGTTATCTTGCGTAAATCAGGTCCAGTGGCGGCTTCTTGTAAACAAGGCACAGCCTAAACTTTTATATCTCATGGAAGACTGTAAAGTTCTTGACATGAACCTATTAAGAAGCTTACGTGCATGGAGTAGTTTTCCTTATGTTTAGTTAAAAAACATATCAAAACATGTTACAAACAAAACGTGTGCATGTTTTCTCATCTTTGAATGTCATAAACCGATTTGTGTGCGGTAAGTCGTTTTCCAGAACTGATAAAGATCAAAATTAAATTCAGGCGTTAGGTTCTAACTCTTCACGTATGAGGTTTATTTCGTTTTTGAATTAACTGTGAAACAGCCATTTCGTTTAGACAAGTGGGAGGATTAATTGAATGGTTAATCGGTGCAATGCAATTCCACGAATACTTTCCTTGTAACTAACTTAAACGTAGCTAAGTCGATCTTGATAAAGAGTCCATCACTGGAAACTACAGTCACCTGTAACCCAGCCACACATTCGTACCCCCTTTAAGACATAATTGAATAAGCTTATTATCCTCCCGTCTACTTCTTGGTCTAACAAGCAATCTTTCCTTTCAGGTTTTCCTAATAAAATTTTGCATGCACTTCTCATCCAAACTATGCGTGCTACATGTAGGCCTACAGTACATTCTCGTTCTACGCACAAGTTACGAAGCTTTTCATTATACACACAAGAGTGTCCAGCTACCTGTTATTTTCTCTTTCCTAGGTTGGAAAACACTTCTCAGCGCTCACTTCTCACACACTCTCAATCAGTGTTTTATTCTCAGGGTCACAGACGTGGTATGATACCCACACAGAGAACACGAGGTTAAATTACAGTACTGTATAATTTTAATCTTTAAATTTCAAGACAAAATCGCAGAGTGGAATGGAAACAATCATTCCATGAGTTAAATTATGTATTAACTTTTTCTGAAGTATAATTTTAATTTGTTGCTGTCTTCCACAAATATTTGAACTTCGCCATATTTTCCAAAGATTTTTTTAGCCAACTTTATATTACAATTAAGTTCTGCATTCTGTTGACGAGACATAAACGTACAGCTTAAAGTAAAATTGTTAATGTACGAATACTTATGGTGTTAAAAAATTGCTGGCTTCTTTTGCTCATATTATGACACGCAATAAACTCAGATGTGAAGAGTCAATTTCTGAGACAGCTAAACTAAACCGCCTTTACTCTGAGACTAACCAAATGCCGGGTCAGAGAAGAAATCCCTTAAGTTAAGGCCCGGAATTTATAATGTGCTTTTTGATCAGGGCTTCTGCACACCTTTAGGGGCGATGTAGATGAGTATGGAGCAATGGTGGAATGATAATTAGCAAAGGAAAACCAAAGAACTACGTGCAATACTTGCTCCAATTCGTAAACCATGAATCTCACTTGAAGTCTACAGGTACTGAAACCGGGTCTCCGCGATGAGAAGCCAACGCCCAGACCGTTAAGTATGATTTCTCAAAGATACTTCTCAATATCGCATCAAGTAAACCCAAGCACAACAGATGGCACAGAGAAGTAAAACCACAGAAAGTGCGCATTATTCTGGAAAGTAAGCGGATTTACCGCCTCAAACAGAACCACTTTCACAAGTATAACGAGTTAGCGTTTATGAGGATCCTGATCTCAGCAGGTAGAACGACCACTTTGGCTTACAGCATCCCTCTTAAAATAAATGACGTGATAAGTACCTTTTTCTCCATTATCCTTCCTATCTCACGAGCCACAATCATCCTCGACTTTACAAAATCACTAACGCCTTTATGGGGCAGAGTCCTCTCCAGGCTCAGCTTGTCAATACATTCCCGCTCTTTATGAAACTCAAAGGTTCATTACCGCGTACCACCGGATCTTATACATAGGCACATGAAACCAGTGCACACCGTCCTACACATTTGCGTATTATTCATTTCATTATCATCTTTCCTAGCTTTAATAAGCAAAAGGAAAGAATTTATTCGCCGTTGGTGCTAAAAAGTTACGCATTAAACGAGCGCAGAGATAAAAGGCAGTTGTTACACGAAATCTTGCGTCCTCTGGACCTTTCGGACTCATGAGTTGTCTGAAATACGAACAACGATTTCGAAGAAAATAAATTTTTTAGACCTACGCTATTCGAGGGAACTTTTCCTTTCCTACCTCGTTATAGCTGAACCCTCGCGTGTTGTATCACGTTGTCACATGTGAAACCGTGCAGAACGATTCACGATTAGGGAACCCAACACTTGCATTTTAACACCTTACATTTCTGTATATGTGTTCAGACTTGTGTAACACAAACGACAGTGCTCTGTAACGCTTTAATTAATAATCGACCACCGTGTTTGGTCATCGGCCTATCCGCTTCTGGGCAGGGGACCTGCCTATTGATAACGGGCAATGGGCGTGGAGGTAGACCGGACTTCTGCGAGTGTTCTGGTGACCTAGCGACGAGCACATTTGCTAGGAATTACTCTTACATCATCATCATCATCATCATCATAACAGTCGTCGTCGCAAGCAGCACCACCTACTTGAACGCAGTTTTCCGACGAATCCGTAGCAGTGAGGATGGTGACAGTACTTGCCGCTTGACAGCCGCACCACGTGTTTCGGAGGACAGGATATAGGACCGATTATCGCTCTGTAAGTTTACGGAGTTACAGATCGTCTGGGTTTTGCGACTCTTTCTTGCAACTCGTCCTTTCGAGGTGATACATGAAAAGGTGATCTTTAATTTATAATTTATAGGCATAAGACTTTTCGTGAGATCTTCATTACTTTGTGTCTTAATTTTGTTAATTTCGTCGCCTATACGATAAGCTACTGAAGATTTTAAAACTGGAAAGCAAAATTTATTAGCGAGTTTAGAAGATTATTTTCTCTTGTTAACTTGTGTAATTAATTACTTCGTCCTGTCGTTTTGATAGCACGTGTAAGGGAAATGAAACGATATTTAAGAATTACAAGAACGGATAAAAGGACCTTAGCGTGTGAAATTAAAGAGGTGTGTTTCGATTATAAACGGCGTGTCTGCTGTTTAGGTGATTTAAACACGCATATTACTAATACTTATATAAACAAAAGTGACGAACGCCGAATTTAATCAAAATCTGTGGAGAAGCTAAAAAATATATGCGCATAAGTCAATTTATTACCTTAAAAGTAATTATTAAAACAAATTAAACCTTCAGACCTACATAATAATTTTTTTGTAACGGGAGTGCCACATTGCGAGTATCATAAAATCTTCCAAATGACTCTGAAAATATGTGTTAAAGTTCTTCTATGCCCTAACATGAAGTAAAGTGAGTACAATTTATAAGTAAGAGTAACTAACATAATTATCGTGTGTACTGTGATTAAAGGCTGTCAAAGAACTCAGAAACATGGCGAGTAGAAGTTAAATTAGGTTTTAACGAAAACTGGTCCTTTAAATCAATTTACTGCAATGAAACTGAAACTTAAAATTATATATTACATTCTGTAAGGTAATAGAAACTGCGAGCGAACGGGCACACCTGCTAATTCAATAGCTGACGGCACCCTGATGCCCAGAAATATAAAAGCTTTACGATCAGATTTACGAAAACTGCGAATTTAAGATATTTCGTATTAATATCGTTGAGCTTTGTAGGCGCTATAGAAGTGCATGCACATCGGCTATTGACGAGCTAACTGTCTTTTGTTTCAGTGTGTTTTCATTCTGAATACTGAAAGTAATTTGGATGTGTGGATGTGAAATTAGTTATTACTGCGGAGCGTGGATTGATTTAAAGACTTGGATTTATTTTAAATTATTTTCCAACGAGTCAGCTAGAAGATGCCAACACAGACCGGTTCAGTAACATGTTCAAGAGATCAATAATCTGAAACCAACAGGATAATCCATACGAACACTTCATAGGCCTATGTACGTATTAAAAGGTGTCCCGTTACATGCCATGTAGGAGCTTGGGGGGGAGGGAGTGGTATAGTTCCTACTGGTTCTTTACTTCAGCACTAGATGGAGTGAATGGTCAGCGTCAAGCCTCGGC